CGTCCACCTTGGTACGTAGCAGCTGAAAACAGCAATACCGTCACGGTCGGCGTTGGTTCAGGGTGACTTCAGGTAAGACTCGCGCAGCCTAAATATGACACAATTCGTGAGCTTTTAGCGTTAAATCAGGACCAGTGAGAGTGGATCTGAGGTCAGGTCAGATGTGGTCAGAACTGGTCGAGTCAGGTCAGGTGAGGTCGGGTCAGTTCATCTTCGCTCCCTCACCAGCTGTACGACGGGTCGGTGTCCGTGCGCGGCGGCCAGGTGCAGCGGCGTGTCGTCTCCCATGTTGGTGGCGCCCACCCTGGCACCGCGCTGAATCAGCATCTCCACGATACCGGCGTGGCCGCACTTGGCCGCCCAGTGCAGCGGGCTGAACCCGTGGTCGTCGCTGCGCAGCGCACACGGCACACAAGTCAGACAGGGTGTACATTGACGTGACGTGGGATGCATGCATGGGATGCAAGCTGCTGGTCCGGCTGTGATTGCGATCATGCACAAGTACATACAATTTTCAAAGCGTTTCAAAGCAAAATAAATATTTGCAGAAGTGCTTATTGCCTAGAGCGCACCCATCACACGTTTGAGAAAACGCTACCACGCTGTAAATACGTTGGGTCGTGAATAAAAGGGCACATGACACACATGATGGCTATGATTTTTAATTAACAGCTACAGTAAATAGGAAAATAGTACCCACAAGCAACCAAACAAATATGGCCGTGCAGGATCTTTTTTTAATATGACGATAACACATCCAGCAGCATATAACAGTTTCAGATTTCAGTCCCACTGTGGTTCGTGTACTCGAATCACAGCACAAAGTAGTGCTCAATTGCCAACTACCAAGTGGCAATATGTACTTACCCTTCATTCATGTCATGTTCTGTATCATCCAGCCAAACGCGGACATGAAACGGATTGCCCTCTCGGACATATTGAAATATATCATCCATTTTTCAAACTCTGCTGAAAGAAAATGACATGAAACAGGCATAACATTCTAAAGACAATTTACATGGTTTTGAAATTTCGAGGCATTTTCCAGTCATTCAAGCAGCAGTGAGTCACATGGCATAACAAACTCAGCTAAACAGCTATTCCAACAGCTATCAGGAGGCTTAAGCATGTTCAGACCTTTCTGGGTTCTCAATATTTATGAAGAAAATAAAATACTCACGAAGCAGTCGCACCTTGCCACGAAAAATAACAAAAAATACACAGGTGCAATCTTTCAGGGCGGGGTTCGTCGCATACAACGCTGAGATTTGTTGACAAAATCCATTAATGGCGCACCTGTTCTTAATGCACCACAACTTTTTCTTTTGTAAGGAGCCCCACCCTAGACGAAATTACGGCGGAAGTATTGATGAGTGAATGAATCAAAGGCCATCTAGGGAATGAATGAATGAATGAATGAATGAATGAATGAATGAATGAAATTCATTTAATTCATTCCACGACTCTGGCTCAGGCTATGGTTTCGCTATATTTGGCAGTTCGTTGGGAGAAAAAGCTAATCAATGGTCTGAGTCTTGACCAAGGTCTTGACAGTGAGCCGAACAAGAACAAGATCACCGGTGGTGGCTCGATGCCCTACGGTGTCACTCGCAAGATTGGTGGCGAGGCAGCCGTGCCCTAACTCACTCACATAACTGATCTGTCAAATGACTCAAGAAAACTCGTAACCAGCACAGTTGACCAAACACTAAACAGAAGGCCAAGATGTAGTGCTGGCTTGGCGGCTGGACTTGGAGCGACGGAACAGGACAGGAGGGAAGATCCGAGACGACTGAGGCTATTTACAACTAAATGTTACTGCTTATAGGCTGGCAGCTGCGGCACAATTAATGTATCGGGGCGAAAAAACAGCATAGTAGTTCCACAAAAAGGCAACGGTAAGCCATAGCACATGCTCTCACCAAAGCTTCTACACAGTCACAGTACAGGTCAGTCCTTTGACCTTTAACATTTATTTACGATGAAATGAGCGATACAATACAATGGAATCATCCAGCGGCGGACATGAGTAACACGATGAGACGGGCGCACGGTGACGGTTGGGGTCCAGCCCCTCACGCCTTCTCGAGCGGCGCGTAGTTGAGGAGCTTCTCGATGAGGTCCACGTGTCCCAGCAGCATGCGCCGGCAGCAGTACTTGCGCAGGCCGAGCGCGTCCAGCGCGTCACTGCCAGGCAGACCGGGTGGAGGGAGACGTCAGCAACACGATCACGGTCCGTGGGACCACCCTGACTCACAGCTCTGTGCAACCGGCCTGACTGTGAGGTCGACCTGACCCGACCCTGCGTGTATAGTCGACTACAAAATGATGTTCCACTCCTCAGAAGCTATCAGTTGACCGGAGCGCTAAGTTGTGCCGTTTATCACGCAATTAAGCGTGTCGATTGTGAGCATTGGGACAAAGCTATAATTTGTGAACTCAGCCCGTGTGATGCGGCACAGCCTACCGCTCCAGGCAATTAATTGCCTGTGAAAAGTGGAACATTATTCTAATTTCTATCGTCGACTATACTCGGTCTAACTTGGTGTACTCTGCCTCACTCACCCATCCGTGTTTTCGGTCACCCACTCACTCACCCCTCTGTGTACTCGGCTTGCAGCAGTCCCAGGTAGGCCTCCCATTTGTTGCCCACCACCTTCCCGCAGGTGAAACAGCGCACCGGGATGATCATCCTGAAAACTGAACAAGGGTATAGGTTAACGGCTAAAGCCATGGATACTAAGAAAAAGATGAATGTCCAAGTAGTGCTGAGGGGGGGGGGGGGGTCACGTCCCTCCCCCGTCTAGCTCCACTCCTGGGCAGTGGGCGGTGTTTCACGGCAGAGCACTGCGCGCGTCGGTGCGTTGGGTTTCCATGGCAATATCAACAAACTCCACTCTGACGCTACGCTATGACGTCATCGTAAAACGCTAGCACCCCAGCGCCAGCACCATCAGCACGCTAGCAGCATTCGCATTTCGCACTCAAACTTCTGTTCTCTCTGTTCTTGGTTTCTTAGGACCTCTGTTCCAAACGCGATTCATCATAAGCTAACGGATCGCACGTAATGTCATTCGAGTGACGTCAGGGGTGTGACTCACCTCCCAGCGCGCTGCAGCGCGCGCAGCGTCGGGCGGTGAAACAGGGCCCGGGGATACGTAGCGATACGCGGTAAGCGGCATTCGAATGAGCGTCAAAAAAATGATGACAAAAGTACTTATGCCATTTTTAGGTCTGAGGTCAGTTTTACCAACATAAAAATAGCTGCCTGTCGGAATTTTTACCTTAAGCCACTCCACATACTGTAAAGTGTAAAGTAAACGGTAAAACCCTATCCGCTTACGTGCCCATCGCGTTTACGCTCCATTATGTGAAGCGGTCTTAACCCGCGCCTCGCTGGGCTATTAAAGGAAGACTGCCACCTTCAAAAAGTTTTCTCAGATCGGCCTATGATTTATTCCCTGGACAAAACAAAATTTTAGAATTCACCTGACAAAGTATCATCACGTGAATCGCGAAAAAAATTGTCCATTATCATACAATTATCAATCGGTTAATGTCTAGCGACAATGTTTACACATCACTAGACTTCAAGGTCATAAGATTATTACATTTTATTTGAAAAAGTAAGGTATTTTATGATTTACTAATATATGATTTCATAAGAAATTGGCCATGTTTAATTTATTTTGCATTTAAGTTCGTAAAACATTTAAAAATCATGGCTCATTTGGAATGGGTCTGGCCCATGTTAAACCCCATTTCCCACACTTTTTTGGAAAAAAATGAACTACTGAATATATAAGTTTAACTTTTATTTTGACACTCCAAAATTCTTCTCTGATCTCGAAACAATCAAAGTTTTGACATATATTTACCAAAAGATAAGAAAATTCATGTTTCAAAGTTATCAATAAACAGTAGAGATGTCGGTTTTCTTGGACTAAAAAAATGGCATCAAACTGAACTTTGGTCTCCGATTTCTCGCAAACGGGTTCGAATTTCGGAAAACCGACTTCAGTCTGGGACATAGGTGGCTCAGCTCTAGTGAAAACCGTTTTGTGGAAAAAAGGTGGCAGTCTACCTTTAAGCCATACGCGCCATGCTGGGGGGGGGGGCAGATTCTGCCCCCCCTTTCTAACTTCCGAACCGATGGTCGTAGAAAGACGGGGAAAACGGCAATCGAAAGCTCTCAACAAGGCGGATCTTAAGAGCTCATTTTTGCTTAAGTAGGTCAGAGGTCAGGTCAAGGTCAGGTCAAGGTGGTAGGGTCCGTCAATACCCCTATGGAGGGCGGGTTCCGGTTAGGAGACCAGTAAGTACTAAGTAAAGTGTCATGCACAAGTCAGTCAGAAGCATTAAAGCAAGGCCAAATAAGTTCATTTAAGTAGGGTGCCATGCACAAGTCAGTCAGAACAAGAAGCATCGGCACTCACACTAGTAGCGCACGTGCAGGGCTCCCACTCCCACTCGCTCGTTGATCGCCCCAAAAGGGCCAAAAGGCAATGTTGTCACAACTTACTTTACAAACCAAGTATCCGACAGAACGAAAATGTGCTTAAAAGTCGAAATAATCACGTATTCCTTCAAGTTATGCCCAAAAAACTCTTGCACATGCATGCAACTTGCATGCAATTTTATGACATCCGATTTTCGTCACATATGCGCCATTTATGTAACTCTGGCATATATTCCATAAAGGATTTTGGTACAGGATTTTGGTACATTACTAACAGGCACATATTTTTCCCATTTTTCATTCCTTTAAATCTTATTTTTTCCTATTGAATCTTCCAAAATATATTTTACTTCCGATTTGTTAAAGAAAAATAGGATCAGATAGCGCAATCAACAATATGAAGGATGCATTCATTAGAAACAGATTCGGGTTGAAGCAAAGAGCAGAGAAAACCTTCATATGGCAGCTAAGTGAAAGGTGAGACGTATGTGACCAATGTAGCGCCCCCCTCTATCGCTGCCCCCCGCGTTCATCTTTTGTTGGGAAATCGCTTGAAAGTTGTGTAGATTTCGCCACAGTGTATATAAATATATTTCGCTACTTTTCTGGTTGTATGTGTACTCTTGTTTGGTGTCTTTAACCCCTCACTTTAAATATTTGATTTTTAAGGCCATAACCGGCCTTGAAAGTTAGGGCGCGCCTCGTAGTATGCCTGAAAAGCAAGGCGTCAATAAGCTAGAACATCACAATGTCGGATAGCTTTTTTGGATTTGACACGGCACATATGGTAAGTACCTTTTACAAAGCAGGAAATAATTATGCTTTTATTTATTATGGTGCGAAATAAATGCTAATATTATTATTATTTATCTCTTCATCTGTAAAAAAACATTTGCAATCAAAATCAGCTTGGGTCCCAGTTATTGTTATTGCCAGTACAAGTAAAATCACCAGTATTATGAGGACCGTTCGGTTCTGTGCAGCGTAGATCTGTGCTGTGTGCGTCATGCTCGGGTGACATCAGCTGCCTGTCTCTGCCCACTATCCGCCGGCACACGGACCTAGTGCTGCTGCAGTCTTGAATCCGCGGGCTTTGAAACAGTGGTAAGGGTGGACTGGCGATTGTCATTCAAATAATGGTTAAAATGCATTTAAATGTGGTAAATGAGCCACAGAAAGAAGTGATGATACCCAAAAAACAACATACAAACTGCTTACAACAGGAAATATAGGACAGTAAATTTAATTATTGCAAAGACCATCACCGCAATCAGTCAGTCACGCAGCCCTCTCCTGGCTCTCCCCTCCCCAAGCCTCCTGTTGTGTCTGCAGCTGTAGCAGTCAACACATTCAAGGCACTCTGAGAAGCGCTGGGAGGTGACTTCTTCTTCCGCCAGCGAAGTATCAAATCTGCACATCGCTTCGCTTTCCCTGCTAAAAACGAGCACTGCGGCATTATTTGTCGCTCGTAATTTCCGTTCTCCCGGGTTATTTATTCACAAAGTAGTCAACCTGGCCATGTAACAATTACAATACTGAACATAGTCCCTATTTACCGCCTACCCCGGGGCCCGGTGGCAGGAGGCCTCCCGTCTTCCCCACTGGGCTAGAAAGCAGTCTCCCCGACTGACCCCGAATGTGTTCCGTTTCAGTCGGATGATGACCTTGGACCTCCTGACTTGGACGATGACCGGTACAACAGCGAGACATTCGGAGCCGACGCCGGTGAGTTTTCCCCGCGGCAGTGGACGGTTGCCCAATAAAGTATATTGTAGTTGAAGTGGACTGATAGAGAATATCACAAACATTTTAATGAAATTCAGTGTTGATGAAAATGTCTTCTCCCCAGGCTGTAAATGGTTGCGCATTTTCAGATTTGCAGACAATTTCCAGCCCAATATTCTCGCGATCCTGGAGTTCATTTGTAGACTTTTACGATGTTTTGTTACGGAGCGAGCGAAGCGAGCGGAGTCTTTCCTTAGATTAACGGAAATTTCTGAGTATGAGCGGCCGGCCGGCCGGCCGGCCGGCCGTGCGGACGCTTTTGCGAGGCTTATATCTCAGCAACCACTTGACCGATTTACACGCGGTAATTTTTGTAGGGTAGCTTCATTCCTTCTACCAAGTATTGGACTATTCCCGATGCATGTGGGTGACCCCTTATGCACGTGCCACGTGCAAAACGAAGAGGTGTCACTTTTGTAATTGTTGCAATATCTCGGTAACTACTTGGCCGATTGCGCTGAAACTTTGCATGTAGGTAGGCACCCACTAGGCACTGCATATCCATGTGCCAGAGTTGGGGTGCTGCTGCACGTGCGCACGTGCAGGGGTCGTTTCCAGATCTCGAGAACGGCTGGACCGATGGCGCTCAAATTTGGTACACGGTTAGGGACCAGTTAGTAGGGTGCCGTGCACAAGTCAGTTGGGACCCATTTAGCACGTGCGCACGTGCAGGGTGCCGCTCCCAGATCTCGAGAACGGCTGGGCCGATTGTGCTCAAATTTGGCACATCGCTAGAAACCGGTCAGTAGGGTGCCATGCACAAGTCAGTTGGAGGTACCCCCTCGAAATTTCGCACGTGCAAGACTCACCCCTTCGCTCGCTCCGTTAGTCGCCCCAAAAGGCGCTATACTGGTTTAAAGTGAACAGCTGTTGTCGAACTCTGCTTGTACCTCACCTACGGCGGAGCTCCGGTAGCAGCGTGGGGTGGGGGAGGGCCGCTCTAGACGGTCTCGTATTACCGGCCGCTGGGCGGATCAGATAGCTGACACTTGTCAGCCCGAACTGAACAACTGAGGAAAGAAGCAGTGCATTTAGAGGACTTTGACACAATAGCAGTGACAAAAGTCGCCCTCGTAGGCTGCGGCTGACATCATCCTTGGACATAAACTACGGTTTCGTTACGTTTTTGTCCTCTCTTTTTGACTTTGAATGATGGAATCGCTAACAATCACTGTCACGAATCAATCCCATAACTCCCGTCACTCCCATCCCATCACAAGTCCCATCACTCGGAACTTATTTTCTGACCCAGTTTCGTCGCCACCCTCTCAGGTGAGTGGGAGGAGGACGACCATGAGAAGATCTCTGCCTACCTGGAGCGGGAGCGCTCCGTGCTCCACCAGCTGGGTAACGGGCGCGCACCGCTCTCCGTGGCCGCCGACCAGCTGCCGGGAGCCACCGACATCGAGCGCGGACTCTCCAAACTGGTGACCGATGACGAGCTCGACGACCCGTGCATCATGTCGGTGCGCCGCAGCAGCCGGCCGGCGGGCAGCGTGCCCATCCCGCACCCGCAGGTATGTGCCGGTCGAATGTCGAATTGTTTGCGATTGTACCTGTCCTGCTTATATCTCAAACTTACGTAACTTTCTTTATGAATTGCTATTTAGAAGAAACTTCCGCTGCTTTAACATTGGTTACTGTGCTAACCAGTACTTCGCCCACCCGTCTCTTAGTTCGGCCGTCCGCGCTCGCCGCCCATCTCGTCCCTGCTCGAGTCAGACATCTCTGGCTCGCCGTCTGCCAACTCCATCTGGTCGACGACCCCCACCCGGCCGGCCAACGCCTTCGACGACCCGGCCATCATGTCGGTGGGCCGTCCGCGCGCGCCGCCGCCGGCCGCCCGGCTGCCGCTGCCCGCCGCCGCCAAGGTGCGCACCGTCGAGGAGCTCGAGCACGACCTGCTGGCGCGCTCGCCGGCGCGTCCCCCGCCGCCGCCGGGCTTCGGCCGCGGGCTGCCGCCGCCGCCGGCCGGACCGCCGCCGCCCATGGACTTCAGCCGTCCGCCGCCGATGCGCGCGCCGCCGCCGCCGCCGGGCGAGCAGTTCCGGCTGCCCAACACCCACCTGCCGCCGCCCAGCGTCACCTCCATCCTGCCGCCGCAGCTCATGAACAAAGGTGAGACGCGGGAGGGGCTAATAGTGGGGAATAAGGACGCTGTCTGACAGTCTAGATCCTGATAATGCTGATGGGTGCAAGCTGCGATCGTGACGTCGATTATAATGCGAGCAGCATTCTTTACTAGGAATTGTTAAATCTGATTACCTTTTCAGTTTTCTTTCTTCAGTTTACTTACAACTTCTTTAGATGTTTCAGTTTGTTTCGCTTCATATTTTGTCACTTGCATCTTCCCGTACCATCCCACCATCCCGGTCGCAGTTGGTGACACCGATGATGCGTCCACAGACCGGGGTAGCGGCGGCGCGGGCCGCGGGCTCCCGGCCGGCCGCGGCACGCCGTCCCACCACCAACACCAACACCAGCACCAGCGGCAGCACCAGCAGCCGCACCAACAGCCGCAGTGGCGCCAGGACCAGGAGCGGCGCCGCCAGGACCCGTACGCCGGCCTGATGACCTCGCGCGAGCGGCAGTGGCTGCTCAACATCCAGCGCATGCAGATCAAGGGCAACTCCGACTACTACTTCCAGGTGAGAAACTGGGTTCTAGGACGCAAGGGGACGGAACAAACGATTACCGTCAACAGGCTGTTTGTTGATAATGCTGGGGTGTCCTGCCATCCAGGCAAAGGTGAAAATAGGATCAGCTGGTGACCAAAAGAGAGTAATGACAACAATTTTTCACTGGTGACTTACTGGAACATGGCTTTGAGAGCGTCTTCATTGTACCAAGTCTGAAAGTTTCATGTAACAGTTGGACATGAATTAAATGAAAGTGATTGAGTGATGACCAACTGTTTGCTCATGAGTTCGTTGCAGCTCACATTTTTGCCTCCTCTCAGTAAACACGCCCAGGGCACCGTGTTTACACCCCTCCCTGTCCGACAGCACTTCAACTCTCGGAAGCTGAGCCAGGGCCGTCGCGACTCGCGCGGTGGCCACGGTCGTGACCAACACAAAGACCGGGACGACAAGCATACCGACCATCGGCTCTACAAGCCGCCAGAGATGGAGAACTCGCTCGGAAAACTGCAGGTCCGTGCCTGACCGACTACTGATGGTTGATGGGTTTGAGGGCGGCCGCTGCATTCGGTATGTATGTCAGTGCAGAGGCGGGATTTTGTTCCTGAAATGTGATTTTCTGGATGTTTTCTCAGCGTGCAGAAGGCACAATCATTCCTGAACTCTGTCATGTTTCACCCTGTAATTTTCTGACCGTTACGTGGCTGATGTAAACTGGCACCGCTAACCTTTTCCAGCGATCCCGCAGGACTGCTAGCCGGAACGTGGCATGGTGCAACTATGTTGCAACTGCAAACATTTCCACCGCTAACTTGTATGACCTATGGCCCCATGTCACTCCTACCCCGTACTTGGCCATCGATTTGGCATTATGAGTTTGCATTGCTCGCTACCTGCTTAGTGCTTATACTTGCTAAATTATATGCCCTTCTCCATACCCTACTATGTCTAGCTTCTGGCAGCTCGCTGCCTCACGTTCGACCATTATAAAAATGCATCGGCGTTAATTAGCTGACCTGTATTTGCCGTTTCCAACCAATCTGCGCTTCTTTCTGCGTTCCTCTGCGGTATCCTTCAAGCTCCCATCTCCCACCAGAGTTCTATAGCCTTGCTCCCACCCTGTCCATTTGTTACCACCATGTACCGATTTCCCGGCCTGTTGACCGACCGTCTCCCATCCCACCCATATGTCACCATGAACCCACTCCCACTGTTGACTGACCGTCCCCACCCGTTTAGGTGGCCAGTGTGACGGCGCCGCGGAAGATAATCGACCTGGGCGTCATCAACCAGGAGTCCGCTGACGGCTCGCGTGACCACAAGGAGGCCAAGCGCGACCGGCAGACGCTGCTGCTCATTGAACAGGTGGGGGCGACGGCCGATCGGTCCGCTGTAATGGTACACGCCCGGATAACGATGGGGATGCACAGTCGGTGTTGTTGTTGCTCGCTGAAGGTGTTGTTCACGCTGGAATCAGAGTTGGGTGTCTCTAAAGTCGCTGAGAATCATGCTAATGGGGACAAAGCTGTCGCAAGGTCTTGTGGGGTTAAAGGTGATAGCACTGCAACCAGACATGTGTATGCAGTGCGTTGCTGGCTACTGTCATAGGTTTTTCAAGATAAACTTCAATTAAATTAATGCAATCATGAAACTTTAGCGTTTGTTGCTACTGCAGAGCTGTGCTCGTGTCTTTGACCCATTGTCTTCTGTGCTAGCCGATTGATGAATGATTGTCGTGGTAGACTTACCTCTCCTGTCCATCCCGCTATTCCAGCTGTACCACCAGGTAATGCTGGTGAAGGGTGCAGGTGATAACCTCTCTGTCCCTCTCCCCATTTCAGCTGTACCACCAGGTGATGCTGGTGAAGGGTGCAGGTGATAACCTCTCTGTCCCTCTCCCTATTACAGCTGTACCACCAGGTACCAGCCAGTCCCTGACCTCTGTCCCCATTTCAGCTGTACCACCAGGTGATGCTGGTGGAGGGCGCCGACCGGCAGGCAGTAACCTCTCTGTCCCCATTACAGCTGTACCATCAGGTGATGCTGGTGTCAGTCCCTGACCTCTCTGTCCCCATTTCAGCTGTACCACCTGGTGATGCTGGTGTCGGTCCCTGACCTCTCTGTCCCCATTTCAGCTGTACCATCAGGTGATGCTGGTGTCAGTCCCTGAATCTCTGTCCCCATTTCAGCTGTACCACCTGGTGATGCTGGTGTCAGTCCCTGACCTCTCTGTCCCCATTTCAGCTGTACCATCAGGTGATGCTGGTGGAGGGCGCCGACCGGCAGGCGGTAACCTCCATATCCCTCTCCCCATTCCAGCTGTACCACCAGGTGATGACCCCTCTCTCCCCCATTTCAGCTGTACCATCAGGTGATGCTGGTGGAAGGCGCCGACCGGCAGTTGATAACCTCCCTGTCCCTCTCCCTGTTACAGCTGTACCATCAGGTGATGCTGGTGGAGGGCGCCGACCGGCAGTTGATAACCTAGCTGTCCCTCTCCCTGTTACAGCTGTACCATCAGGTGATGCTGGTGGAGGGCGCCGATCGGCAGGCGGTAACCTCTCTGTCCCTCTGTGGTTCCAGCTGTACCACCAGACCAGGTGATGCTGGTGTCAGTCCCTGACCTCTCTGTCCCCGTTTCAGCTGTACCATCAGGTGATGCTGGTGGAGGGCGCCGATCGGCAGGCGGTAACCTCTCTGTCCCTCTGTGGTTCCAGCTGTACCACCAGACCAGGTGATGCTGGTGTCAGTCCCTGACCTCCCTGTCCCCATTTCAGCTGTACCACCAGGTGATGCTGGTGGAGGGCGCCGACCGGCAGGCGGCCGGGGAGCCGGAGTCGGAGGCCGAGTCCGCTGAGCCGGCCGGACCGCGCCTCTCGCCTGAGGAGGTGCGAGCCGCCGCCAGCGGCCGGCTCTGGTCGGCCCTCAGCCGCGAGCAGCAGCTCGTCCACATACTCGCCATCAGAAAGGGCAAGGTGAGGCGGACGGATGCGTGAACACAGGTTTATGTCTCAAACTACGTGCGAGCGAATAGAGATTGGGTTGGATGTGTTCTTGTAAACATAGAAACTGCAAACGAAAATTAAAAAGTTTCTTGTTTCGGCGTTTGTTTATTTTACCTTTTGACATTGCATTTTATCGTCGCTATTTTTTTTACATGTCGGAACTCGGCACAGGTCCGCACTTGCTAGTTGCTAATCGATGCCATCAACTTTTTGGTCTGACACGCGCCCCTCCGGCCGTCTCCGTCGCAGGGCCTGGTGCTGCGCTGCCTGCCAATCCTCAGCAGCCAGCAGTACTACCAGATCGCACTGACGCTGCTCAAGCACCTGGCGGTCGTCCTGCACAAGGACAAGCTGGACAACATGCTGCACAAGTTCTTCGTGTGCATGCAGATGGTAAGTCGATAGGTCTCCGCCGGCTGCGCTCGGACGGGTATTGATGTGAGATATAATGGAGTTTCGCGGTGCGCTACCAATGGGAGTTCCTCGAAGGTATTGCGACTGTGTGGCAGCATAATTGGAGTGCCGATGGTACAGCCGAGCTCCCAAAGGGAATGAATGCCTAGTGTCTGGCATCTGGCTCAGTCGGAATGCTCATTGTCCAGATCTTAACTATTACCATATTTATCCAGGTGCGACCTTCCTTATATTTATTTTCTAATTTGCAGACTGTCTCGTTTTAATGACGCTTTCCGGGTATAATATCGCTCCCTTTAGTTTGCATCTGACGCCATGGGCACGGCACGGTTCTACCGACATTGTATCGTGGGTCTAGCGGGCTTCTAGCGGGGCTATCACTGTCCTAATGTAATGTATTAAATTGAGCGGCGCCCGGCCCGTGGTGAACGTGACAGGACAGCTGAGCGAGCCGTGGAGCCAGCGGGCTGTCCGTACCGGGTCAGGGGGTGCGAACGGCCCAGCGCTTCCTGTGACAACGGCCAGGGTCGGCGGTAAAGTAATTGGATGACACCGGTAAATGGTTGCGTCGGCTCGAAGTGTGTTATCAATATTGTGTTTCTGATTCCTCAGCTGCTCTACTCGGGAAACCATTGGACTAGCTAAACATTGCTTACAGAGGAGTTGCCTACAGTCATGAATGTCCTAAAGCACTAGTTTTCTTATTAGGTATTATTTATTGCCTTTTATGACGTTGTTGGTTTGCCTGGTTTGGACCGTTTTGGACGGCCCTGGTTTGGACCGTTTCAGTCGCCTCATGCTGGTCACTGTGACCCCGCTGACCGCTCTTCCTCGCCCACAGGTGGTCAGTAATTATAGTGACCTGGCCCAGGTCTGAGATCACCGAGCTGACGGGTTCTCTCTCACTGACTGTTTCTCCTTACCCACAGGTGGTCAGTAATTATAGTGACCTGGCCCAGATTTGAGATAACCGAGCTGACGGGTTCTCTCCCACTGACTGTCTGTCCTTACCCACAGGTGGTCAGTAACAGTGACCTGGCGCAGATCACGGAGTGGCTCTCACTGACTGTTTGTCTGTACCCACAGGTGGTCAGTAACAGTGACCTGGCGCAGATCACGGAGCTCACGGCGGCCCTCACTGCCTCTACGGATCTGGACTCTGCGACGCCGGCCAAAACGCCGCTCCAGCTGGTCGCCTGCTCACCCGTGAGTAACGCCGCTCCTGAGATCCGTTGGACTGTCCTCCATGATAGTTACAGGCACCCGGCACTTCGGTCAGGTTGCGGCCATAGTTGGGTTAGGATAGGTGGATTCAAAATCCTTGATTGAATGGCCTTTCGCTTTCCCCCAATGCCTTCTAAAATGATTACGATGCCCAAGTCTTGCGTTTTTTGCATTTTTTTTCTGGATATTTGACTGCAATTCCATAACCTTGGTGGACTTTATAACCGAAGCCTCTGAGTGAAAATTATCTTAGGCTACCACTTACCAGTGAATCCACTGGAGATGTTAGCTAAATATTCCAGTCGAGCCATTTTTGTCCAGCTGTCGGCTGTGTGTATTGCACTCGCGATGCTGCCCGTATGACCCCTCCCTTGGCCTCTGACTTGTTTCTCTCTGCGTTCACTGCGTCGGCCGTGCCCGTCTTCTGGCCGACCTCGTCTGACGCGCCCTGCCTCGTCTAACCTCCGCTTCCCGTCCCTCGACCCCTGTAACCGACCCACGCCACTCAGCCCCCGTGCCCTGCCTGACCGTCAGTTCCCCTCTCGTCCCTGACAGTTCGGAGTCTCCGTGGCGCTGCTGCTGCTGCTGCGGGGTGACCAGCTGTGTCAGCAGCAGCCGACCTCCGGCGCCGCCGAGCGCTGGCGGCCCCTGGCGGCCGGCCTGACGCGCTGTCTGTCGGCGCTGCCGCAGCTGGCGCCCCCGCTGGAGCCCGTGCCGGCCGCGCTGCTGGCCAAACACGTGCCAGAGCCGCGCCTGGTGGCCCGCCTCGTCGGGGACGTCGGAGCCACGTGAGCGCCGCCCGGCCGGCTGTGAGACGAGTGACGGGGCGGCCGGTGCCGCGCGCGGCCGCCCGACCCACTCCTGCTTTGTTACCGAGCGTTTTATATGGCGAGTGAGCGAGCCGGCCGACGCCGGAGCCGCGGTCGGCCGGTGACACCCGCGAGGGAATCCGTATCTACAGAGAGGAGGAGCGTTTTGTTTGCCGACACGGCGTGTGCCCGTGGCCGGTGCTACTGGTTGTCGGCGGGCCTTGCCGTTCAGTTCCGTGCGGCGGCCGGCGCCGGGCCGGGCGGGCCGCCGACAGCGGCCGCCGGGTCCGGCGCCGGCCGCCTCCACCGTTCCGCGCGTCCGTGGCCGCGTCGGCCGGCGGTCGGCGCGGCCGGGCTGTATTGGTTTGGCTCCTGGCGGCCGTCATTGGTTTAGGCCGTACACGCGGACACGCTGGCAATAAATGGGTCGATGGATGGATAGCGCGCTGCTCTGGAGGGACGAAGGTGGTGGGGAAGGGTGGTGGTCACTGTAAAAGCTTAGGAAGAAAAGACTGGGAAGAGCTCGCATCGGAAAGACGACCCTGGGAGGCAGGGCTCGCTGGATTCTGGCCACCGTTTGAGTGTCACGGTTCAAGGGGAACGATTATCAGGCGGGATGCGAAGAAACTGGTCAAAGACTGGGTTTAGGTCAAGGATGGGTCAGTCGGCGTCGCAATGTCGTCCGCTTGTTGGAACGTTAAGTACAATGGTGCAATAACGCTATAATGTGGACACTTGAAACGGTTCTGGATAGCTATTAGATGGGCTAGTATGTTATTCCAAACATCTGGTATTGACGGCATTGAAATCGGCGATTCGTAGTCTGTGAATAGTGGAATAGAGGCTAATGTGCATTGGTTAAGATCTTTGACTGACTGTTGCAAAACGATTATTCCATTTAGCATCGCTGTGATTGATTAAATGGTGTCCACTGTCCATTACTGTCTGCCCGTTTTGCGCTCCCATTATCGGAGACTAACTGAGTCTTGTGGAGCCTGTTCCGACCACCGTACCACCGTATCGCCCCGTGCGGTCCGCTTGGGCTGCGTGCCGTGCTGAGCTGCTACACGCGGTCAGTGGGGCGGGCGCTGTGGTACGCAGCACGAACCGTGCCCAGGTGCGGGGAGCGGGCGGGCCGTGCCATATCAGCGGGCTGGATTGGCCCACTCCCACCTGCCCCCGCAGCTGCGGGGTACCTCTGCGGTCACTAATCGACACGCAACAGCGATCAGTGAGGTGTGTACCTCACACAGGTCAGGGCTGAGAAAGTACAGTGCACAGGTTTGTGATTCATGCGAGTGGAGTGTCCGGTTGCGTCGCGGGAGAAAGGGCTCGATACTGCGTAGTGTGAAAAGGTCACTGGTCTAAATTAGATCGCTCGAGTCGAATGGCTGGCTGTGGAAGTCTAGGGAAGACTGAGAGCTCGAGATAAATTTAATCTCAGGAACTTCCCGCTACGGGAGTGTGAATCGTGATACCGTACTTTGCTGAACTCTGTTGATGTTTCGCGCAAACTTGTAATATCCGCCACATCGATGAGGCATGTCCTGCTTAAAACTGGCTTGGATCGCTTCACCGTCCATGCGTAACAACAATGCAAAGCAACAGATACTCTAGGCCATTCTTCAGCAGGCTCCACTGCTGAATTCGTGCAGTCACGCAAGTATTTTGCTGCGAATGCATTCCTGGTACCCTTCTAGACATGCCATAGTTCGTAGTTTTCCTGCGTCCGTTCTTCGGACTGTGAACGCATTGGTCGCATTTTCCTCGTGCCTTCATAGACCCATTCGTCACACAATTTTGCCCGAGGAAAGCGTCTCGTATTGCATAGCGTATGAGATTGGTATCCCCCGGCGCGCAATAAGTTCAACGCACCCTCTTATTGACTGGAGAGTGGCGCATTTCGGCCGCGGACGGCGCCCGCCGACCAATTTGTCTGACCTTCGCTCCCGGATTTGTTGATGTGATTGAAGCATCGAACGCGGACCGGCCGGATTAGGGGCCGAAGATTGAAAACCGGTCGTCTCGGCGATTGTTGTTCAGATGAGGGGAATGTTGGTGAAGCCAAGCCGTCGCCGCCGGCTGGTGGTAGTCTCCTGTCGAGATGACCTTGTCACCGTTCGCAGTGATATGACTTATCACTGCTGCCGGTGAGACCGTGCCGCACTGCCGCCTGTGACTCGCCGCGGCTGAAAAACGCACGCACCGTGACGAGCTCTGTAAACTGGCCTCGCCGGACGGCGGGTTCATTATTTCCGCGCTGTCTGCACCGGGCTGTATCTGTACGCCGCGGTCTCAGCAGCGCACAGTGGCCCTTTTCAGAATTAGCACGCATAAATTCAAAATATTTTTTCTCTTCTTTTGAGTAAAAAGCAGTCTAATCGTGTGCAAAACATTCCAAACTATCCGATGGTGCCATTTTTACCTCCTAAAAAATAATTATCTTTGGTAAAACTGACCGCAAAACCGAAGTTTGTCGAGAGGCGCGCGGACACCACCGGCGGACCCTAAAAAGTAGGGTGAGATGAACATCAATTTGTAAGACTTTCGATGCGAAAATATTAAAAATTAGGGGCATGGCTGTGAAGCTGAGTTTACGTAGAAGCCCTAGAAACCACTATTTTCATCGTATCAACTTAAATAGACCACTTTTGCCGAATATTGTGGACACAATAACAGGACAATTATTAACTGGAGATGGCGGCATACATATGAAGCTTTATGTTAAGTAGCACACTGTGGAACATATCGTATTATACATCGTTCGAATCGCCGATCTCTTCTGACCATGTCCACCAAAGGGCATCGCGCCATTTTGCGCCATTTTGCTTCTACGGTGGATAACGTGAGCCAGTTCAGTCCGCGAGCGGCTGTGGCTCCTGTTCGATACGACTAAGCTCATTGACCTGGCTCGAAGCTGATGTCACCTGGTATGCGCCTAAATGTGGCTTGACTTTTGTCATAAGATGTGCTAATTGAAATGTCATGTAGGCATAACGCTGTGCCCAAGAAAAACTGTCCGATTTCTTGTCGCGTTTGATGCCCAAGCCGCACAAGTCCCGTGGTCGGCTTAAGATCTAACGTCAAAAGCGCCTATGTGTTTGTATTGTTCGCGTCGCGCTGACCTTAGTTGCTGCCCGGCCGGGGCCGACTAACGGTGGCTGGCAACAGCTGTAGATGCGGTCACGTGACGCCCTGGGGCGTCCTGGCGGTCAGTGCAGCGCGGTCGGCTGGCGGGCTCGCCACACTTGCGTTCGGAGTGGCCTGGGCCGGCGGGCGAGCCGTGCGAACGTGCGCCAAATCTTGGGCCGAGCGGCCTGTCGCTGTTGGGCCGAATCTCCTTGGGCAGTTCGTTTCTTTTCTTCTCTTTGCATTGGCAGGGAATACGTCCTTGATCACGTGGTGATGTCTTGCACCACTTTCAGGTAATGTGGGAATTAATGCGTACTAATTCTGAAAAAGGGCCACTGTGCAGCGGTCTTTAGATCGGTGGTCAGCCGGACCGGACCGGCGGCTGCTCGTCAGCTCCCGAGCTCCCGAGCCGCCTTCTCCGCGGCCTTGAGGGCAGCTCGGCAGCCGTGGAACGCCGAGCTCCGTCCGCCGAGCTCCGTCCGCCGAGCTCCGTCCGTCGAGCTCCGTCTCCGGCCGGTCCTGTTCTCCTTGATGGAGGCAGACTCAGCAGAGCTGCGCCTCCGGGCGGGGCGGCTCCTCTGCCGCACGGGTCTGACCAACACACGACCTTCGGCACGACACCGGCCGCTCCGCCGGCGGGCCGCCGCATCCCTTCACCCCGCTGATGACAGTCATTACGAGCCGCGCCTTCCAGCGGCGAGGCCGTCCGCGTGCCAGCGTGCAGGCAATGGCGGATGCCGGGGTGCTGTGAGTGTGTACCTATGTCCGACCGGTCGCTTCTACCGGGTGGTCTGCCGCAAGAGGTATACTGCGGTGTCAGGAAGCCACGGAGGTCAAATCACGAATGACGGTTTATCAGTGTAATTGCCGTTGTAATTGATGTTTGAAGGTGTTTGAGATTTAGCATCTTTGTTGCTTAACAATAGATTTATGGGTACATAATCAAGACCATTTATCACAACGGGCTCTGCAGCAACCGCTCTTCCCGATGCAGACCTGTTTACCGCAACAAACACCTTTACAAATTGCCGCAAACTGAAATAACTCTTGTGAGATGTGACGGTCATTGTTGCATCACCTCCTGCAAGCGTGCCGGTCTCTTTAGCTGGTCTCTGACGAACCAGGAACTATCTCGTGGTGTCCTCGATATCTCACTGTCTCTGTCATCCGTGATCCGCCAGTCATATGTCCCTGATCTGGGACCATTCGACTCCTCTGGAGGCTAGGTTTGTCCCGTGTCCGTCTGTCCGCCTGTCCGTCCGCCCACAGCCCACGGCGGTGGCCGATATTAGGTCTACTCGGCGGCGCAGTGGAGGTAATATCGGCTATTCCGTCCGGATATAGCTGGAGACGGCCACCGCCTCCCCGAGCTCCGGCACCGGCCGATACCTGACCCTCCCCTCCCCTCTACTCTCTCGGTCTCCGGGCTGATTGCTCTGTCGGCACCAGGCGGGGCCGGCTGACGGAACGGGTCCGCGGCGCGGGTCGGCACGACCTCGCCACCGGGAAGTCAGGTCGGCTCTCTGTGTTTACCGGACACGGGCCGTGCCATTGTTTTATGGAAGTGGGCCGGCACGGTCACGGTCTCGTGGACGCCAACGCTCTATAAGCCGTGTGAGGTTTAGTTAGTCATTCTTACCCTGATACGCTGCACGCCTGTTCATGGCCTCAGTGCATGACTGGCTAGGGAGAAACTGGTCACTGTGCATTACCCAGAACGCCAACAAATTCTGCAGAAGGTCGTGAAGTCATACATGATTGGGGGTTGGCAGAAATAACGCGGCGGATTAGGGTCGAAATAGGAATGACCCGCCGGTAAGGTTCAGTGACCCGAGGAACTCCGTCGTCAGTCACGGCGGTCGCCGCGGAACACGGAATTGATGCATCATCCGCCTCCCGAACTACCTCCGTACTTCCTTCCCACACAACCACAGCGGCCGCCATGCCCCGTCACCGCAGACGGCACGCAGACGGTCGGATATAGGGAGGAGCATCCCCCGGTGCGGCCGTCCTCTGCATTCCTCCCCTCCTCTCCCCGCCAGCTGACCAATCTCCAGACAACCGGAACCGGCCACAATCGCATCCTGTCGCCGCCACACGTGCGCTCCCTCCGCCACCCCTCTCTCCCTCCCCCACAGTGGACAACACGCGACTCTGAGCCACCCCAGCTGCCGGCCTCCCTCCCTGTGGCCTGTGTGACGTCATGGATGAGTGACGTCAGACGTGGATGTGTGACGTCACCCGGGGGCGGGTTCTGTGTATCTGCACTGTCCAAGTGATGACTCGCCGCTGGCTGGGGTGAATTCAGTGAACTTCAGCCGCGGCTTTCCTGCAGTCCCGCTAGCTGAGAGCGGGCGCCAGGTCCAGCGGCGCAGTGAGCGGCCGGAAAACGGACAGATACCGGTGTCCTCCACGGGGGATTAGCGCGTCTCCGCCGCCGCGCACCTCGGCAGAACGCCTTTTTAACGATCGTGCCGCGTCCGCCGGCCGGCGCTGGCGTGACTCCCCGACAGCGGCGGTTCACATGGCAAAAATCCGGGGCTGTACGGACGCACCCCATTCCGTGCAACAGGCTGCGTCCGCCCGCCGAGCGGTGCGCTGGAAAGAGGCGCCGTTTTCTCAGCGGCGAGGGCAGCTATTCGAATCGAGTCGCTGATATCATACCTCACACACGGCACAGGGGTATATGCTCCGTCCTGTATTGAATACAAGGAGGAAGGGCGACCGGGGCGCGGCCTCAGACCGCTCCCACGGCCCAGGAAACATGTACAAACGGCGCATCTGATACACATGAACACACACTCGATACATGGGATGGTACGGGTGAGATACAGGGCGATACGGGGCGATACAGGGCGATACGGGGCGATACGGAGCGATACAGGGCGATGGTGTGTCGCGCTTGACACCAGGAATAAAACACCGGCAACGAAACATACATACGGAGGACTCACAACAAACCAAGCTCGAGATCGTGACTGGGCACCGCGGCCCTCCCCCTGACTAGACCTTGGCATGCTTCGCAATCAGCCAGGGGCACACAGCCGACACTCCCAAACAAAGATCAACGACAGCGGGAGACAGAGCCGCGCTGCACATTCCGGCGCTACACGCGGGATAAAAACGTCCGGCCACCGCCCGGGCCCGGGAACATCCGTGTGACTCACTTCCGTACTCGGCCCGCTCCATCACTGCCCGCGCGACTGACTCACAAAGCACTCACGCGGAGCGGCCGCGGGGGCGCCGGCCGCACCGCGCGCCCATCGTGACGGCCGCGTCACTGTGCGTCCCGTCACGGCGGTGTCACGCGGCATCACACACCGGTCTCCTCCTCGGGCGGCCACTGGCAGCGCTCGAGGTCGAGTCGCTCGGCGGCGCACCGTCCTCCCAGTACCAGCCGCCGCAGCCGCTCGCCATCAGCCGATGACGTCATGTCCGTGACGTCACACTCGGTGACGTCACACAGGTCCGGCTCGCTGGTCAGATCGGAGCGCGAGGCGGCCAGCGAGGGCGGCGGGAAGTCGGTCTGCGTGCAACCGTCCACCAGCTGGGCCGGCGGGCCGGGTGACTGAGGGACCGATCCCGTGGAGCCCAGCGGCGAGTAGCCGTGCCGGCCCACCTGCAGCGAGAACGTGCTGCCGCGCAGCTTGTCGAGCAGGCCGCGCGAGCCGGACCGGCTGCGGTAGCGGCGCAGCACCTCCTGCAGACTGCCGGCAGATGTGGCCGGCAGGAACCGGGCGGCGCCGCGCCGAGCCCGCGGCCGCTCCACTGCTGCCGGCTCAGCCTCCACCGGCGCCACGCTCCGGTACCCTTCACCCGCGGCGCCGGCCCCGCGCCGAGCGTCACCATCCGCGCAGACGTCACACGCGTCATCGTAGTCGACGACGACGGCGGAGTCGGGCGTGATGTCGTCCGAGGTGGCGTCGGCGGCGGCGGGCCGGCGCAGCGGCAGTGAGAAAGCGGCGCCGCGCTGCCGCCGCGGCGAGCCGTCCAGAGACGGGTCGCTGGCGCCGCGCGACAGCACGCCCGCCTCGCTGCACTCGCGCGAGTCGCTCAGGTTGGGCTGCGACGTCGAGCCGCTGGTCGACACGTCCGTTAGGAAATTGACGGCGGCGTCGGATCCGACAGAGCCGAGCCCCGCGTCGGACGCGTCGTCGGGAGGCAGCGGGCAGCTGAGCCGGTGCCGGGCGGCGCGCGGACAGGTGGCCGGACCGGCGGCCGGCGCGCCCGGCGCCGCCCTCGGCCGCGGCCGGCCCGGCCCGTCCACGGTCCGGTACAGACGCACCGTGAAGCTGTGAGCCGCGCTCTCCGAGCTGCACGTGCTCGCCTGGCGGCAGAGCGCGCGCGACGGCGTGGGCGCCGCCGAGCTCAGCTCGTCCGTATCCAGGCTCGGCCGGCCGCCGACCGGCAGGCAGTAGGTGGCACAGACGTCCGTGTACTCCTCGCTGGTCTGTGTTCCGCTGGAGCGCAGTGTGCTGGAGGCGGGGCCAGTGGCGCGGCCCGGCTCGGCAGCCGCCGCGCGCAGTACCGGCTGGTAGGTTGTCTCCACGTGCGGCGGCTCGGGCGGCGGCGGTGGCACGAGTGGCGGCGCCGGCTGCAGCAGCGAGGAGGGCCGGGAGCCGGCCGGAGCGCTGGTCCGGTCCGCCGAGGCCGAGCGACGCATGGTGCGCCGCTGCGGCAGCGACACCGAGATGGCGTGTCCACCGGCCAGCGGCAGCCGGTCCGTGTAGGCCAGCCGGCCGTCCTGACTGGCGCTCTGCGAAACACACACAGACAGCACGCGGTCAGAGCGGGGCCGAACGGCGAACAGGGGGCAGTACACAGCACATAAATCCCGCACCTGCGGAGTGTTTCAGGAGAGTTTCATGGGTTACACGCGTAATCGCAGAAACTTTTCTGCAACTTTGACAACACCAACTGGACACATGGGGAGAACAATGCAAGGAACTAGTGACGAGGGCAAGGAAACCACGATACAAAGGGAAACGCAGGTTCAGACGTTTTCCTCCTATTACGCAATGTTACGATGGGATAATGGACATTCAAACGCCGCTTTGAAGTGAGACAATACGACAGGCTCATCATTGGACAAATTGGTCGATCGAGACGGCCGCATTTCATCGCTTATGCGTCATCGTCCCCCGCGGCCACACCGCGACTGCAGGGCCTCTCCAATCAGGACCTGCGCCTCAGCTCCCCTCGTCTCGCGGGGTACATTCTCGTCCCACGTCTCCGCGGCACTTTACGAGCCAACTTGGTGTGGCCGCGGCCGCCGGGGCCGTCCGCCTCTGATGAGCCGGTGCCGACGGGTCACGGGATCCCCGTCCACTCCCGGGGGACCCACCAGACCCGTCTGGAGGCGCCGGCCGGTCCGGGCGGCCTGACCTGGCGGCGCAAAGCTGCCGGGCAGAGGCCGGGAACATCGATCGACCACGGAGAGGTGTGAGAGCGCCGTGAGCGAGACGTCGACTGACGAGTTTCGGGAACGATCCCAGCTCCGACAGTCAATGGCTGTATAAAGTAGTGGTGTCAATCGGAACTTGAATCTTTGGAATTCCGATTTTGTCCAATGTCCAATTCGGAATTCGGTTGGACAATGGCAGCAGGCTTTGGACAACTTTGGACAATCGCTTGCTACACCTCAACATTTTTAAAAAGTAGTCGTGTTTAACATTGATTGGCTATTAGAAAGCTCAGCTTTCGATATGATTAACACTTTTGAGCTTGTACCGGTACATGAAAAGCAAATTGAATAACAGTGTTGAGTGTAAACTATTGCGTAGGTGTCGGACATCTTTGGACAAATGGCTGGCTTGGACATTTTTGGACGGACAATCGACGTAAGCATTGGACATTGGACAGACTTTGGACATACGTTTTCTGAAATTGACACCACTAGTATAAAGGCGGCGGCGGCGCGGTGACTTATTCCCTACCGAGAATAAACTACGCTGAACGCGGTCTGCTCTCCGTCTCCGTCTCCGTCTCGCTCTCAGTCTCCGTCTCCGTATCCACCTGATCCGCCCAGTCCCCCCGCTAGCCGCTCTGCCGGTAACGCTAATTAGCTCTGGCCGCTGGCGGAGCGGCTCCGGCAGAGCGGCAGCAATTAGTGTTTTGCGCGCCTGACGTGATCCATTGGCCGTAATCGCCTGAAGGGCGGCCGCCGGAGCGCACCGCGATATCGGCAGGCTCGTTTGGCGCTCCAGAACGCGGCCGTCCCGATCTAAAACCGGAGCACGTCTCAATTGGCCCGTCTGCTGCCGACAGCGGCGTCACTGCTAGACAGGAATGGACGGATATAAAGACAAGGTCATAGCCACAAATAGAAAACAATACCAGACGCTTTTTGCGTCAGCGAACAGAGTCAGACGGATGACAAAAAGAGCATAGCCATTTGCTTGATTGCATAGCGGCACCCCTGTTACAGAGACAGCTAAACAACCGCTCCAAGCGACCAGCTGTCACGACATGACCTTGTCTGCTCGGGGGCAATATTTTGGAGCCGACTGGCGCGTCCTGTCAACGCCTCGCATGCGCCCGGCGACCCCTGGACACTTTGCTGATTGCCACCCAACAACAGCTATCTCTTTGCTACAGCTGAGTTCAGTCATAGGTTAGGCTGCCTTTATGGCTATGAAACCCATAACACGGCTCCTGAAATGGTCCCGCCATTATGTTATTATAGCCGTTCCGTAACGATTGCAGAGTATATCATAGCCTATCAAAGCCGACATAGGTCGTTTCGGCTAGCGGTCGTAACGCAGCGTAACCTGAGAGGGCGTCCCGACCGGCCTCAGAACCCTCCATCGGCCGTGGAGCGGGCTTCAAGCGCCTCGGCCCCACCCAAGGCACGACGGCAGGCGCAACGTCCCGGAACGGGCCTCTCCACACTAACGGCGCTGTCAGCCGGCCACAGTGAACCCACGGCTCACACCCCACTAAGAACGACTCCTAGTCCAGCACTCGCTAATCCCTGCAATGGGTGAATAATGATCCCGCTGTCGACATGCCATAAAAGCCCGATCATCCAGTCCCCATCCGCTCCCCACTCTGTGATTTCTCTAACCCTCATCCCGTTCCCCTAAGTGCATATCTAACCCACTCTCCGCCTGTCTTGCCCGTTAGTCTCACCTGTACCACCTGATTTCGGCTGCAGACGGCCGGGTAGTAGTCCAGCTCGGCGGCCGCGCGGCCCGCCTGCTGCGGCTTGGGTCGCAGCAGCCGCGGCCGGCCCGCGCACGCTCCGGTACACAGCGCGAACACAGCACAGGCGGGCCGCCGGCGCGGCTCGTGGTACCTCAGCGGCTGGGAGCCCACGTAGAGCAGCAGGCCAGCCAGCAGCAGCTCGACGGCGCGCGACAGCGTCTGGTAGCACCACCAGGCCCAGGGCTGCGGGCCGCCGGCGCGCGCGCCGAACACGCCGAACGCGTCGTACACCCAGACCATGCCGTAGGCCTGCAGCACAGCCAGCAGCAGGCCCAGCACGGAGACGATCACCGTCAGCCGCACGGCCAGGCCCAGCGTGGGCCGCGGCAGCCGGCGCGGCATCACGCTGCCCTCGATCTGCAGCTTGGTGACGGTGGTGCGCAGCGCCTCGGCCTGACGGCGCACGGCCGCCCGGTACAGCGTGCCGAATATGTACCAGTAGGTCACGCTGAGAGCCAGGCCCCAGCAGATGAACATCAGCTGGCAGAGCGCCAGCAGAAACCGGCCCTCGAACTGCAGGCCCACGATCAGATCCGTGCCCACGCTGAAGGCGAAGTGGAAGGCGATGACGGAGGCGAGCGCGCCGGCCGACTGGACGCGCGGCCGCATCATCTGCACCTGGGTGGCGCTCAGCAGGGCCATGAACAGGATCGAGAAGGCCGACGTCAGGCACGGCACGGGCAGGTTGAACAGCAGGTAGTTGACGGGCGCCGCGTACAGGCCGCCGGCGTTGTAGGCGTCTGTGAGCAGGTAGGCGGCGCGCAGGGCGGACAGCACCAGCACCATGGCCGTCAGCGTCATGAAGTACGGCTTGGAGAGCAGGTGCGGGAAGGCAGCCACGCGCAGCAGCGCCACCAGCGCCAGCGCGGCCAGCAGCGCGAACAGGCCGCCCAGCGTGTACACGTGCACCGGCCAGGCCAGGCCCCAGGCGGCGCGCGCCCGGTCCCACTCTGGCATCGGCTCGGCAAACGGCTCCAGGTCGTGGCCGCCCATCCCCGACACCAGTACCGGGCCTGTTGGCTCCGGCTCGGCGCCCGGCTCCGGCTCCGGCTCGGCGCCCGGCTCCGGCACAGGTTCAGCTACCGGCTCCGGCTTAGACGCTGGCTCGGGTACTTCTGGAACCGACTCCGGTACTGGCCCAGACTCCGGCTCCGGCACTGGTTCATATTCCGGCTCCGGTACCGGTTCATATTCCGGCTCCGGCACCGGTTCATATTCTGGCTCTGGTTCTGGCTCTGGTTCTGGTTCTGGCTCCGGTTTTGGCGCTGGCTCTGGCTCCGGCTCTGGTTTTGGCGCTGGCTCCGCCTCCGGTTCCGGTTCCGCTTGAGGTTCTGGCTCAGCTTCTGGTTCTGGTTTTGGTTCTGGTTTTGGTTCCGGTTCTGGCTCAGGCACCGGCATCAGTGGTTTCCAGTGTTTCTTTTTGGGCGGCGTGAGGTCGCTGGGGATACTCGGTACGTACACAGTCGGCGGTTCGAAGCGGGCCGGCGGCGGCGTGGAGCTCGAGAACGGGTGGGTGGGAGGCTCGAGCCGGGTGGCCGGCGGCTCGTGCTGAACCCGCGTCGGCCGCTCCGTTCCCCCGGGACCCGCGGGGCTGTCCGTTCGGACCGGCGGGCGGGACGTGGTGGTCATCCGGGGCCGCGGCGGCCACCGGCGACCGTAGCCCGAGAACGGCGACTGCGTGGGGAAGTGGATGCGACTGCGGTGGCCGCCCAGCCGCTGCTCGAACCAATTCAGGCCCCGGTTGGGAGTCAGTGTCGGGAAGTGGATCCGGTCCGCGGAGAGCGCCGGCCGCTGGTAGATGAATCCGCCGGCCACCGAGCGGCGCGTCGTCGGACCGTACCGCGGCCAGTAGACGAGCCCGGAGGTCGGCGTCACCGGCGACTGTTGCGTGGGCTGCGGCTGCGGCTGTGACTCCGGCTGCGGCTGTAGATCCGCCTTCATCTGGTGTCTCCCCCGCGATCCTGACCGCGCGATCACTCCCACAGTTCTCTCCGTCGAGACATCGAGCTCGTACTCGACATGATCACCCCCGGGCCCGGCCCCGCGACCGTCCCCTGCACCATCCACGGGCACCACTGTCACCACCGGCTGCTCGGTGCCGTCACTACCGTCACCAGCGGGGGCGGGAGTGTCCACTGTCGGTGACCCATCACTCCGTGGTCCGTACCGGGCGGCAGGCGCCGAGGCCACGGTCGGTGTCGGCGTCAGCTGTACCGGTTGCGGCGCGGAGAGTCGTAGTGAGGCGGTAGTCAGCTCCTCGTCATCCCTCGCACGGCCGTCGCCCGCCGGCGCTCCGGGTGTCACCGCCGGCCGGCCGACCCCTGACCTCAGGTCGGCGGCGCCATGCCCCGTCGCGCCGCTCGCCGCCGCCGGCCGCCACTCGGGCGGCCGCGCCGTCTGGCCGGCGGCGAGCGCGACGCATGCGACGAGCAGCAGCGCACTCCGTCGACCCGGCGTCATGACGGCGTCACCATGTCGCCATCGACGGCGGCGCTGGTCGGCGGGAGAAGAGCCCCTCCGTCAGAGACGCGCCCGGCGGGGTGACGATAAAACAGCGGCCACCTGAAAACACACAAACAGCCACAGCGTCAGACCGGCCGGGCAATGGAACGGGTTTCTGCGCGGCACCAAACCAAGGTACGGCCGAGTTCCCCGAAAACACAGGCATGTCAACAACACTGAGAATCAGCGGCGTGCTACCAGACCGACAAAAACACTCCAATAGAGCTGCCGCGGTGTTAGCGACGCCACCAAACACTGGGAGACATTGACGGCACCTGGGAGAGTCATTCGCAGCGTCAGACTGGAGAAAAAGCTACCGTCCTTCGGCCAACGGGCGGGAGTATGTGGGGCCGCTCCCCAGTGCACCGAGGCCCTGAGCTACAGCCGCTCCCTCAGGGAGTGGGGACAGGCACTCCCCGAGATGATAGCCGCTCCCCGCTAGCAGCGGGCCCCCGACAGCGGTCGACACAATTAGCATATGTCACTGGGTATTTATCATATTGTAACCGTACCCAGACATGACTTTGCACCATTGTAAAACAGCACGTTACACGATATATCCATATAACGCTGATGGGTACCTGATAATTCGTGCGCAGGCTAAAACGAGATAATTCTTGCTGATCTCGTTTCTATCATTATTAACCGTTTTATTTTAAATGTACTATATAGCTTAACTTGCTCATCTCACTGAAAAATGATACCTTCCACAGTTTTCCGAGAGGTCCCTTCTCAAAAATGTCACAACACTATTGTGAGGCGACATCCTCAGAAATCGTAAGTCGCAGGTGTCTTCACTAATGCCTGCGCACGGTCAGGGTGTAACTACATGAAACCCATCTGCCACTGTCACAACTCGGCCAAATACCGCACGTATCATCCACAAAGCCTCGAACAGAGAAGCCCTGCAACGTATTACGACCGCCAATCCCCACCCGGCGACCGAGTCTAATCCCGAAATAAAACGAAACTCCACTCTGAAGCATGCCGGTGTGAGAGGGTGCCTACATTGCCCACATTTTCTGTCGCCAGCAAAGCCTGCTGATAATTGGGCCAGCGGTCAGGAGAGCCGGGCATTATGAAACCGGCGGCCGAGGGATATGCCCGATATAGGTATACCGGTCAGTCCACCCTCACTGGCCCGCATTGGCCCATGCCGGATTAGGGTGGCAATCATTTTACGACGGACTGACCGAGTGCGCCCCTGTTGGTCCATTCACCCCTCGGACTGAGTCATTGTCAGTCAGAGTCACAGTCACAGTCACAGTCACAGTCACAAGTCACAGTCAAGTCCCATCGCAGAGTGACAGGAGAGGACATTGGACGAGTCACGGGTGACCGGCGACGCGACGCACCACCGGTTCCAGACCAAATGGGACCATTTTCCGTCTCCATCCGCCCATTTATTACACTATCTCGACGAAAATTAACCCCGGCCGCTCGGCAAGCTCCGGTATAACTTTCGGTGGCGGCGGTGGCACCGCGGCTGCGACAGTAAATTGAAAATCCGGGGCCGCGTCATCGGTCCGCTGCCGACATACGGCGCCGCGATCCCTCTGGAGGAGATGGGCCGTGCCGCCACAAATTCCCCGCCGCCCGTCCCGAGACGACGGCAAAATATGACGCCGCTCGTCAAACGAATTTTCTTTAATATGGCGCGATGAATCACGGCTCCGGAGGGTCGCTCGCGAGCGTCACTGTCGGCCATAGACCGTTCGGCGCCACCCGCCGTCCGCCGCACGCGTCGTGGAGACCATTCAGTGGGCACCACGGGAGATGGGACGTACCGGCAGCTCACCGCTGTGTGCACGGGGTATAGTGAGCAGCTGGTCCCTCACAGACGCGCTGGGGGCATCCCTCGCCACCACGCTGCCGCTCGGAGCCGCGCGGATCGGTGGTGGTGTACCGCGCGCGCGGACCACCGATCGATGCGCGGTCTGAAGAGCCGCGTCCGAGCGTCCGCCGCACGTTCTGCGTTCGCCGGCTATCCGCGGCGGTCGGTCGGCCCCCGCCCCCGAGCGATGGCAGGTCAATGTGCGGCAGATGGGCCGACAGAATGGCCGGCGCCGCCCGGCCGACAGCCGCATAGGAATGGCAATCACCGCCGCCACCGTACGCATGAGAGTGGGGAATTTTCCTGTCGCTCGGACGTGCTTTACCGTCTGCGTGCAGTTGACCCCGAGAGCAATGAACTGTGGAAACGCGAACCGAAGAAGTCCGCTGTCACGCACCAAACATAGAGACGGAACAGTAAGTTTTGCCACGGACGGATCGACGCCGCTGATTTCAAGGTCGTCGCGGCCGACTGCGACGGCGATTACCCACGATTAGGTTTAATTGTGCCGCTGATCTTTACGGATAATCTGAGGCAGACGATGGATAAAACGGACGCCTAATTACGGGATGGATCGTTCACGCAGACCTCACGACACGCGAAACCGTTGGTCCACGGAGCGTAAACCGTTCTGAGGTCGCAGGGCGACTCGCGCGTACGGACCTGACTGCGGGCTTACACCACTCGTACGCCCAGTCCCACGACCATTACGCAGGTGCTACCTCAAGCCCACGACTCTTTCACCGTCTGACACTCGGTCACACGACCCCGACCCCTTGAGTGTGGGCAGAGACGAGCTTCCAGGAGTGTCGCTAACACCTCTGTGTGTTACTCTCCACAACTCAATGTATCATGTTCGCTGTGACAGGTTCCCATTGCCACACGCACCACTTCTAACCAATCCAACCACTCCACGTCACCACCCCACGTTTAGACTGACGCAGCACCTTCATCGCCCGCCGCCGTGCTGACAGGGGGACCCCACAGCACCGCTGTGTGCTGTATCAGCTGGTCAACAGGGCGGGGCGCTGCAGCGGGCCATAAACAGCGACCCGACACAGCCGCCGCGCGGCCCACGGCCCGTGACAAACACCAACTTTGCGGGCGCCGCACCGCTGCCGCTGCCGCCGCCGCACCGCCGCCGCCGCACCGCTGCTGCAGCAACTTAGTGGGTGGTCGGCACAATACTCAATCGGGCAAGTTGTGTACCGGGGCGGGGGAGGCCGAGTTGGAGGCGGGGAGGGGGAGGGGGCTCGTTAGCGAAGACGAACTCGACGCACCGCGCTGCTCTCGGGCGGCATCGTTAGGCGCAGTGCAGTGGGCAATCAGGAGCACCGCAAACGGGGAGAGCGCCTCCTCCTTCCCCGTTCCACTCCCTCTCCATATTGGAAGAGAAGCCTGGAATACCGACTACCGAGATGCCTGCCGGACAGATGCCCTGATTAGGTACGGTCAACAAGAGTAAAAACACGGGCACTGGTACCGGCAAGAAAGGCATTGGCAAACGACCGGTGTGGTGGGTAGATAACGAAGATAGGCGTATTGAGGCAATCGACCGGAAGCTGCACGGCAAAAGGAGGACAAACCCGTATCGGTCAGAGGTGACGATTACAAAAGGAAAACAACAACCAACATTGTACCTATCGTAAATGAAACATGAAAAGTTCCAGGATAACAAGATAACGCGAGGGTCAGAACTGACATATACGTGTAAAACTCGCCCATTCAATACATTGCCCAATCTGCAGCGTTGCCCTTGACCGGCGGACCGCGGGCGGGTCGTGGTTGGTACTCGATGACGTCACCGGCCGGGCATGCCCCATCGCAGGTGGGCGGCCGACCGTGTCCAGAAATGCGACTCGGGCGTGTATACTCTGCCCCGCGCCGAGCAGATGTGCATTGTGCACGTACCGTGACCACTCCTCTCCGAGAGGACAGAGTTCTGACGCACGAGAGGAGCAGATAACTGACGCACGAGGGGGTCGGTAGATCTGGGACAAGTGCTTTGCTAGCCGCATGCCTGCGAATTCAAACGAGACGATAAAGGGCGGCCCTGGAATGGTATCTCCTTCGTTACTCAACGGCTGATAGGACAGGGTTGCTTCAGGAGGGGGAGGGGCGAGGGAAGCGGAGGGGGAGGGTGGAGTGTCTCTGCGGCACTCACTTTGGTTATACGGCCCATAGAGCGCCGAGAGGCCACTGGTGCCCAATGAGGCAGACGTGGGTCGGTGACCTGCGTCACGCCCTGCCCCAGTGCCCTCCACCGTCTGCCGCGCGCGGTCCGCCCCCGGGAGCGGCTCGCTCCGGCCGGCGCGGAGCCAATCAGTCCGGCGTCGCAACTGCAAAGTGCCGCGCAATCCCGGCTCCGGGGCGCAGCTGGCGACCGGAGTCCGGAGGCTGAGAGCGCCGTGCCGCGGCCCAGCGGGCACTCAGGCCAGGCCGGCACACGGTGCAAACGGACGACCGACTGACCTCAGAGGCCAGGTCGATACGAGCCGCTGCAACATCCGCCGGTGCGCAGCGGGGAGCGACATTGAGTGAGTGACACCTTCTTAGAGGGATTGACCATTGCTCCTGTTTCCGGGCGGTCAAATGGTCCAAAGGCTCTCCATCTAAAGCAATTGGCGCTTCGGTGAGGGTTTATTGCTTAAGTTTCCGCATCACGGCTGCCCAAGTTTCAAAGCGGTCACCAGAAGGCCCTCGTTGGGGCCGCGATTTTCCGGCCCAGTCAGCACCAGCACAATCCGTTTTCGGCGACAGTGCGGCTCAATCAGTGGCGCTTCCTGTCGATTGGACGAGCTTTGATCTCTGTGCGGAGCGCTCATCAATGACACGCGGCCCGGACCACCGCCCCGGGTCCGACCGGCCGGCGGCATGGAGTCTGTCCCCGAGCGCTGACGAGCTCCAACAGACTGCAGGT